CAACGCTACAGTAACCAAAACAGCATGGTACTGGTACAAAAACAGGCACATAGACCAATGGAAAAGAATAGAGAGCCTAGAAATAAAGCCACACATCTACAGCCATCTGATTTTCAATAAAGCTGACAAAATCAATGCATGGGGAAAGACTCAATATTCGATAAATGGTACTAGGATAACCAGTTAGCCATATGCAGCAGATTGAAGCTGGACCCCTTCCTTACACCATATACAAAAATCAACTCAAGATGGATTAAAGACTTAAATGTAAAATCCAAAACTATTAAAATTCTAGAAGAAAATCTGGGCATTCAGGACATAGACACAGTCAAAGATTTGTCCACTCAGGACACAGGCATGACCAAAGATTTCATGATGAAAACACCAAAAGGAATTGCAGTGAAAGCAAAAATTGACAAACGGGCTCTATTAAACTAAAGAGCTTCTGCACAGCAAAAGAAACCATCATCAGAGTAAACAGACAACATAGAGAATAGGAGAATATTTTTGCAATCTGTCCATCTGACAAAGGTTTAATATCCAGAGTCTACAAGGAACTTAAGAAATTTACAAGAAAAAAACCAACCTCATTAAAAAGTGGGCAAAGGACATGAACAGACACTCCTCAGAAGCCATACATGCAGCCAGCAAACATGGAAACTCAGTATCACTGATTATTAGAGAAATAGAAATCAAAAACACAATGAGATACCATCTCATGCCAGTCAGAATGGCTATTACTGAAAAGCCAAAAACAAATAGATGCTGGTGAGGTTGTGGAGAAAAAGGAATAATTTTACACTGTTGGTAGAGTATAAATTGGTTCATGGTTCATCGGTCATGGAGGACAGTGTGGCAGTTCCTCAAAGAGCGATAGGTAGAAATATCATGACCCAGCAATCCCATTACTTGGTATATACCCAAAGGACTATAAATAATTCTACTATAAGGATACATGCATGCATATGTTCACTGCAGCACTCTTCACAATAGCAGAGACATGGAATCAACCTAAATGCCCATCAATGATAGACTGGATAAAGAATATATGGTACATAGACACCATGGAATACTATACAGCCCCAGAAAGGAACAAGATCATGTCCTTTGCAGTGACATCGAGCTGGAAGCCATTATCATCAGCAAACTAATGGAAGAACAGAAAACTAAACACTGCATGTGTTCACAAGTTGTAGCTGAATGATGAGAACCCATGGACACATGGAGCGAGAACACACACTAGGGCCTGTCAGGGATTGGGGAAAGAAGAGCATCAGGAAGAATAGCTAATGGGTGCTGGGCTTAATACCCAGGTGATGGGATGATCTGTGCAGTGAACCACCAGGGCACACATTTACCTCTATAATAAACCTGCACACCCTGCACATGCACCCCTGAACTTAAAAGGTGAAAAAAAATTATTTGATTTTGTTTTGTATTCTCTGCTAGGTGTAAGCTTCAAGAAGGCAAAGACAGGGTCACTCTGGCTCACCACTAGATTCCCAGCCATTAAATATATGCCAGGCATATAGTAGAGCCTCAATAAATATTTTTTGAATGACAGAATGGGTAAATAAGTGAAAGCAGATCATGCTTTCTGAAAACTCCCAAAGAAGCACTATTTAATTTTTATATAGGGTCTATGCTGTTTTCTTGCTTAACCTTTATTTTAAAACTAAGCTGTATATGCTAAAAATAAAATGACTTTGTAATTGGACGTAGAAAAGATGGTAGTTAGTGGTGAGCCGGGGGAGATGAGTGAATTTCCATTTAGTGCTACAGAACATCCAGCTGCCAGGTAATAGATGGTCCTAAAGCGCTTTGATAGTTTGATTTCATAAAAATGAGACTAAAGTCCCTTTCCAAGTATTCCACCATGAAGTCTCAGAGAAAGCTTTTGTACTAGTAGTTCTAGATGGGTTTAATGGTTAGTCTTTATTTTAAAATAATCAATTTTTAAAAAATTTCTCCTTTTATTGCCAATTTTATACTAGTCACTGTTTCCCTTAAAGAATAATCCAATGAGAGGGAAAGTATGTGCAAAGGGAAAGTAGATATAGAGAAAGAAAAGATGATGGATGATGCAGATTGGATTTGAGACTTTTAATGTGAAGTCTGATCTGCATGTTCCTTTAAGATTCAGATTGCAGTTTTGTGATAGTCCCTGCCTTGTTCTATCTTCCATAAAAGCTTAGGAATTTATGATTACTAGTGATTTGATGTCTTTCTCTTGTTAGTTGGAAACTGTTTTGTGTTCATACATTTCAAATTTTGTATGCCATTGTATCCTTGTATCTGTCACACAAGCGTGGTAAGCTGAAGTTTCCATGATTCTTGTCATGGAAGGGTTGAGAAGACATAACTTTATTTCAGGTTTTCACTGGCCTCCAGAATTCTCTTCATCTTCTAATTTTAAAATCTTCATTTATTAATATTGGCATTGATGTGGAAATTACCTTTTTCTATTTCAAAGGAATTTTGAAGTATATGTCAAATATATCTGAAGTTAGGTTACTTTAGTTATGTTATTTGAAATGTTTACTATTTTGAGAGTTCATTTGCTCAGTTACTTTATATAGATCTTCTAAATATTGATGGCAAAGTATGGATGGACAAAGATTATCTGAAAACTAATATTTGTAAATCTAGCACATTTTTAATGTCTAGAGCATTAGGATATTTAGAAATCATTACACTGCTGATGAGTATTTAAGTTTTTAGTTAGATGACTGATTTTCCTTTTTCAGATTAGGACATTAGGATCTAATTAGAAAAATGCCATGGCTAGGATGCATAGAAACCTCTTCTATTTGCTTTTATAAACTGTGAGAATTATACATAAGGAAGTTTTTTGAGGGATGATTCATTGAATTTTCATGACTACATACATTCACATATACACACACAAAATTTTTCCACTGCATTCTACAAACAGAAACTTTAATGAAAATCAAACATATATAGAAATTATTGTGAATAAAATTAAAAACTGCTTAAGCTAGTGACATAAAGTTATTTTTCATTTGGTATATTTCCTTTCACACTTTGCCATTCACAATTTTTTTTCTTTCTTTTTCTTTTTTAAGACAGGGTCTCTCTCTGTCTCCCAGGCTGGAATGCAGTGGTGCAATCACAGCTCACTGCAGCCTCCACCTCTCAGGCTCAAGTGATTCTCGCATCTCAGCCTCCTGAGTGGCTGGTTATTTATTTATTTAAGAGAGATGGGGTATGGCTATGTTACCCAGGCTGGTCTTGAACTTGGGCATGAAATCCTCCCACCTCAGCCTTTCAAAGTGCTGGGATTACAGGCTTGAGCCACCACACCCAACCCATTCATGTATTTTATAAATCTATTTTCTATGGTTGAGATAGAGTTTTTGTATATATTTTTTTCATTTAACTTCTTATCTCAAGCCTTTCCCATTTCATGAAGACATATTCATAAATTCAGTTTATTGTGGCTCTTCACTGTCTCATCCCATGAAACACTGTAATGTGCTGAACACTCCTCAAGTACTAGAAATTTATTTTTCAGAAATTATAAACATTTATTTGCATAGATCCTTGAGTTTCTAATTTTTTTAATTTTAGAATAGATTCATAAAATGAAATTATTGAGTAAAATGGTATGAACATTTTAAGGCTTTGGTACACATAGTAAATTCTTTCTAGAATATTAATACTAATTTATATTCCCACTTGCTACAAATGACAAGGCTTAATGTATTTACTATAAAAGAGGTCATATAAATAAATAGAAAAAGAAGTACTAATAGTAAAATGGCTTACAAACCTGAACAGAACATTTACTAAAAAGGAAATTACGGAGAGACATCTGCACTCATATGTTTATTGCAGCACTATTCATAATAGCTGAGATACAGAATCAACATAGGTATCCAACAACAGATGAATGAATAAAGACAAGGTGGTATACATACACCATGGAATACTATTCAGCCATAAAAAAGAATGAATTTCTGTCATTTGCAACAACATGGATAGAACTGGACATTATGTTAAGAGAAATAAGCCAGGAACAGAAAGTTAAACACCATATATTCTCACGCATGTGGAAGCTTTAAAAAGCTGATTTCTTAAAGTAAAAAGAAGAACAGAGGATTCTAGATGCTGGGAATGGTAGGGGGGAAGGGAGAGCTAGAGAAAGATTTGTTAAAGAATACAAACGTATGGCTAGATAGGAGGAAAACCACTGTAAGAGGACTATATGTAACAATAATGTTATATACTTTCAAATACATTGGAAGATATTTAATGTACCCACCAAAAAGGAATAATAAATGTTTGAGATGATGAATATGCTAATTATCCTCATCCGTTCACCATATATTCCATGTATCTAAACATCACTACAAATATGTACAATTCCAATTTGTCAATTAAAAACAATTTTTAAAAGATAAAATTTAAATATCCATGATATTTAAATATATATGAATGAAATTAAAATAAAATGCTATTGTAAGTATGATAAGCTATTATTTTGAAATTATTAGAAGGTAAGATGCTAACAGGAAGCTGGGTAAAGAGTAATAAGAAACTCTCTGAACTTTTCCAACTTTTCTAAAAGTCTAAAATTATTTCAAAATAAAAAGTTAAAAAACGAATTTACTCATATAATGGCTGTGGGTACTCCCAGAAATCTCAAATGGTGCATTCCTAACTAGTTTTCTCAAGTCACACTTCTAGTATTAAAAAGAAAATATGGAATATTTCCAATGCATGTTCTTATTTATTGTATAGTTCTCTGAACTCACTTCATATAAGCTTTATCTCATTTAATGCTGTCTATCCTAGGAAGCAAGCAGTAAAATTCTCATGCTCATTTTACAGATGAGGAAATGAGGGCTGAAAGGTTGAATATCGTGCAAAGTCATATATGCTAAAATCTTTTATTTTAATTGGTTTCATTTATATGATATGTCCATTTGGCAGAAATGGCTTACATTTTGAAAAAGAATGTTTGTCTTTATTTCCAGCCATCTATGGTGTTCCCTTTTCAACAGATGAGCCTACAGACATTATACCACGAAGCTGTCAACTAACGACAGATGTTCCGCACGTCACACAGTTGCTAAACATGACTAAACTTCGCCAGACTGAAATAAAATTTGGAGGCCATCCTCTAAGAACAGCAGAATCAGGTACACACTCAGGCACTTAATTATAAGTGTAATATGTCTGCATCTCCCCCATAACTGTGATTTCCTCCAAAAAGGACACTGTCCCTCATTCTTCTGTATCCTTAGCACTTAACAGGGTATACTTGCCACATACCAGGGCGGGGGCTACAAACTCTGATCACTAACAAGGCCAGGAAGATAACATAAATGAATAAAGTGGGCTGGTTGCCTGAGTATTTGACACATAGGATATTTTCAGCTTCAGCTGTGAGAGAAATGGTCGTGGTATTATGAGAAACATAACTTTAACAACTGTGCAAATAATACATGAAATAGCAATTAACGCTGAGCCCCTGTGAGGGAATTGTAGGGAGTAGTGGGGACTGAAGCCAACTGGAAGTGCCCTCAGTCTAGAAGGGAGAGCTACAATTCAGTTCTAGCCAGTGATGCCTTTCAAAATGGCAGGCCCAGTCTCACTAGATCTCTGATTTTTTTCAAGAGGAGCTGGATATCCGAATGTTTAAATAAATCTCCCAATTTTAAAACATTGTCTAAAATGTTTTGAAAACATTCCATGGTCCAAACAAAACATGTTAGGGCTGCCAGTATTCTACCTCTGTGATAGAAACCATAGCTTTTAACCAAATGAATGAGTAGTATTTACAAATGAAGAAAATTATTATCTAGATGCATGGTTCTCAACTACCTACATGTTAGAATCACCTCCTTACAGGCTAGAGACATTTTTAATGTTACATTTTTTTTTCTGATATCTGTCCCCTAGAGATTCTAATATAATTGGCCTAGGATAGACCACTGGATCACTTATTCCACAAAGGTCGTCTGATTCAGGTGACCCTCACAAACACTGAAGTAATTCAGAGAAAGGTTAAATGATGGTGGTAATCACAGGACATGTAGGGAGGAAGAAGATCTTGAAAGTATCCAACCTATACTATATATATCCAACTATATACTATATATATATATCCAGCCTATACTATATATATACAAATATATATTACATAAATAAATAGATGTGAGATTGTTGGAAGGGTAAAATGGGGCAGAAGACTGAGCAAAAACAAGGAGACAGCAAAATGGGTGGATAAGTTTACTGAAGGAGTAATAAGAGGAAGGGCCTTAGTAAGCAGAATGACTGTGCTGGAAGAATACGAGAGAAATGGGCTTCAGTTTTTTAAGGGAGAGGAATGATAATTTCTGTTTTAAGAAGTTGAATTTAACAGCAGGATTCAAGGTGAATTTTGAAATCAAGTGAGACCAGACATTAAGGAGCACAACTAAGATGTCTTTGCAGCAATCTAGGCTTAAAATGGTAAAGGCCCAAACTCACATTAGCTCTGAAAGTGGAAAGCAATGGCCCTGAGAGAAACTGCAGGAAAACTGGCAAGGCTCGGTGATTCTAAGAATGGTCAAAGTTTGAGGGAAGTCAAAGGAGAAACGAGAAAGGAGATAAACGTGGTATGACAGTTTCAAAAGTGAACTCATTGTCTTCTCTGTACTTGTTTTCATGTTCATTTATTCTTGGGGTATGTTCTATATGTCAATCTTCATCAGTATTATGTGTCCTAAATTGTATATTCCCAGAGAATTGGGACCCATTCAATAGCCTTTTCAGTATAAATCCTAGCAGACAACTATGTATAAATAGACCGTACATTATTTAGCCCTTTGTTATGACATTTTCAAACTTACAGAAAATCCAAGAGAATGTATGATGAACAATCCCCATGTACTCATTACCTGCTTCCACAATTACCAACTTTAGGTAGGACTTTTTGATAGCAACACAAGCACACACAGTTGAGAATTTGTATGCTTGCTATATATACTATATTTAGACAGAGAGAGACACTGTATACAATCCATGATTATTAAAGACCCTTTAGAAAATATATACATAAAAGGATTAAAAAGATCTCACTACCCAGGTAGCCATTATAAACAGTTTGGGTCACAATTCAATCTTAATGAAAGATTTACCACAGAATAAAATAAGAGTGTGTTCTGTAACAAATACTATATCTGTATCTAACATGCTGTGATAACTCTCAATAACAATGCTAAACTATAAAGCATATCAGATAATTGTTTGCAATTGTAAATGCTTTTTTTTCCTCTAGCTTAATGTTTTAAGAATTAATTATGTCTTTAAATGAAAGTGCAAGTCTATATCCAGATATTTTAAGTGTCTTTTTCAATTTAAAGTTCAATAACACTTATAGTGTGTGAAATTAAATGGAAATTTGAATAAATATTAATTGCATCATTAATTCAATGTTATAGTTAAACACAACTTTTTCATAGGGCATATTTGAACCCAAGTCATAAAAGGATATTAATATATATTTTGCAACTTCCATAAATGGACTCTCAATGCATAATAGTCAACATGAGTCATATATACAGAAATGAATAATTGTCATCTAATAGCATATTTCTTCTGCTCTGTGAATCCTAATTATATTTATATTCATTGGTAACCATAGGGTTTATGATTGCTTTTCTTAAATAAATCTCATTGCACGTGTATGCCAGCTAAGATTACACAAATATAAGTTGCACTTTGTGTTTCTCTTTCTGTAAATACTTTTCAATTGCTGATTTTGACATTTGTGAGCTTTGAAGCTTACTATCAGTGAATATAGTAATCATTCTTGTTCTTTGTGTAAGCTGTTTGAAAGGTGTAGCTAATGAATAAAGCCCGGGGACAGGCTTTTTAATCATGGAAAAGCCAAGAATTATTTCTTCATTTGAACTACTTGTTTTTGTCTTTCTAAAAAGTGGACTCCCCACAATGAGATTGGAATTACATGAGAAATTGTGTTTAATTGACATGGAGTACTCATGTAAATTGTAGTATTTTATTATAAATGCACATATTGAGAGATCCCAGTGAAACCTTTAGAGAAAGAAGTAGCTGTTTTCTGTGGGTGCTTTCTAGTGTTTTCATACAAGCTGAAAAGAAAACCTAAAAACTTGTAACTGTTTTGGAGTGCATTTTGTTGAATAGCATATAACTTGATCAAGCACATTTAATGAAACTGATAAAATAATTGTTTCCAAAAACCACACATTTACACTATTCACTTTGTAAATTCCCAGTGCAGATGAACTAATGACTGTTGCAGAAGATTGTGGAATCTGATGACCTTACTTTCATTAATGGGACCCCAGTTTAATTGAACCAGAGAATCAGATCTGGTTATTGAAGTTGAGCATTCAGCTACTAGTGACAAGATGCAGTGGTCCACTAAGCACAAATCAAAACTAGTAATTTACTTAAAAATTACAAGGCAGTCTTCCCAAGTGCCCTCCTGTCCACAGCAACCATCTTATTGGATTTTTACTCCTTTTTAAGTCAGAAGAGACTGACATCCCTAGCTCCTAGCACAATTGCAAATGGGTAAGTTAATGCATCATGCAAAACACATGAAATAATCATCTAACTATTTTTGACAGTGGTGAAATCCTTATTAAAAATTCTTCTTTTGGTTATACACTATGAAAGCAAGATTCAAATTTTTTAAGATCCACTGTGAAGTAGGATAACCTAAAAGGAAAAGGAGTTAGATTCTGACTTCAGAATAAACCAAGACACTCATTAATTTCTTCTTTTCTAAACTCTGACTTTTGATTAGCCTTGTCTTAGGATTGTTCGTTGAAGAGATCTCACAATTTTTAGTTCCAAGGTGTGATAATTCAAAATAAACTACGTCATCTCTTACGTTTGAATCATGTATCCTCTTTCCTATCTTCAATAAAAGTGAAACATAACTAATGACATTCCTTCGTTTAAAAAATATTAAGTGTAAATAATATCCATTAAATATGGATCTTATTGATCAGTATCTGTGGAATCTTATAGAAAAATGTCAAAAACCATTTATAGAGTGAGTTTTAATTTTTCTGTAAATTTTCTGCCAAATATTGAAAGAACTTTAATAATATAAAACATAATATTAAATGCATTTAGCCAGTTTGACAATTGTGTTACTTTAGCAGGATTGTCTCATACCTACCTTTACATTTCTTTTTTAGATGTTTATGACTACATTGCTTGTAATAGCAAAAACCTGGAGACAAACTGTGTACAGTAGGGAAATGACTCAATAATCACACAATAAGATATCACTGCAGTTTTATCAAGAATGATCTGCTCTGCCTGTGATGGCCTGGAAAGGTCTCAAAGCTGTGTCAGTCAGTGAAAAAAATAGAAACCACGAATGCTGTTTCAGTATGATCTCATTGATAGAAATAAAAAAAGATAGTTACCTACATATGATATATGCATAAATTTTTTTAAGGAAACACAAGAAACTTGATAATTACCTTTGAGAACAGGGACTAGTGCAGATAGGAACAGTAAGATAAGCATTTTACTTCTAGTTTTATATCCTTCTCTATTACAGAATTTTAACTTTCTAATTATATTCATGATGTATGTCAATGATTGTTTTATGTCAGAGTAATTATGGGACATTTCTAGTTTCTTCTTTATACTTTTCCGTATTTTGAAAAATTCTAAGACTTGTAAAATTAAAATACATTTCTCTGTTTAATATCAATATTTTAATTAATACATTTAATAAGGAGGAAATCCAGAATTATTAGCAAAGTCTATATATAGTTAAATTTTAAACAACTTTTTAATTTATGGTTTAATAGGTAAATATATAATATATGGTTATCTATGCTACCTCGATATGAATTTTGAGATATTTTAGTTGAACTATGACTTTTCAGATACTTTTTCACTACTGGTGAACTCGGGGCTATAATAATCAATGCCCTCCATCAGCCCCCAAGACACTCTTTCTGTCAGGTCACCCAGTTTTTCCTTTCAGCACAGCATTTATCGCTACCTGATGTTTTCCTGTTCACTTGATTGCTTCCTTATTGCTGTCTCCCCCTCTAGAAAAGTGCAGGATCCTATTTATTGTTGTGTTCCTAGCACCTAGCTCAATGCTTAGTACTTTCCAGGAGCTCAGTAAATATTT